GGGACAGGAAAGAGCAGCAGCCGCCCGCGCGGGTCCCCGCGCTGCCCCGGGAGGAAAGGCTGCCTTCCCTTCGCCCGCTGTCACCGCGCGCTCCATCCGGAGCCGCTTCCTCCTCGCCCAGAGGCTGCGGAGGGCACCAGCCCGGCCGGCCGTCGGACCGCTGCGGGTTGACGTAATTTGAATTTGTAGCAAATGTGGAAAGTTACATAGACCTGCGGTTCGCAGCTCGTTTACGCACGTGGGCCTGCTGTCTCGAAGCGAGTTTAGGGGGGCGCCGGGTGGGGTGTGAGAGACACAAGGCGCCACCCGGATCCTGCCGGTTCGCCTTCTTCTAGGGCAGCGCAGCGTGGGGGCTCCGAGTGTCGAGTGTCTTGGACTTTGGATTCAAACAATCCGGCTCCACCACTTGCTAACTTGCTGACTGTGGGCAGATGGCTTAACCCCTGGCTTCTGTTTCCTCATCCCTAAAATGGGGGACTAAAAGTGACAATGCCTGTAAAGCCACTTCATAATCACTGTTCTAGCTCACTGTAAGCATTGCAATTTAAATATTAATCAGAGACATACTTGAGCTACCCTTTGACTCACTTCTTCGTGGCAGGAAGTGTTCCCAAATTAATCTGTGGGAACTCAGTGACTAAGAGGATGTAATAGTATATAACACACAGCCTTTGGAATTGCGTTTGCTTTGTAAATTTGACAAATTAATTTTTATTTATTTATTTTGTGGTACTGGGGATGAACCAGGGCTACAGTGCCAACCCTTTACTTTGAGACAGGGTCTCACTAAATTGCTTAGGCTGTCTCAGCCTCCCAAAGTACTGTGATTACAAGCACCACCACTGCCGGGCTTTATAAATTACTTCTTTAATTTCTCTTCCTAGGGCAATACCTGTCTCCCATCATAGCATTACTGTAGGGCTGGAATGGGTTAGTAGAAAGCATTAGAACCTTACTTGGCACACAGTAAGTACTCAATAAATGTTAGCTATTGTTATCTTAGTGGCCCAGAGTTGAATCTCTTGTGGTTATTCTAGTTTATATCTCAGTAATACACTCTTCTGTGCTTACTCCTGAGTTCTGTAGGTTGTGGAATTGGTATTTATGCAGATTGTTAGGAAGACATGTATCATCAGATTGTGGGTGTACATCTGGGAAATACTGAAAATGTCTCAGAAAAGAGAGGCATAAAATGAGGGAAAAATCTCGTAAGTGAAGCAAGAATAACTGCTTTCATTTCTGAGGTGTTGATAAAAACCGGAGGAAAAAAAGTTGATGAAATTCACTTTATGTATGTTTTCAGGGCAAAACACTACTAGTGAGAAAGTAGCTTACTTTCTGTACTGGGAAACTGCCAATCCAACCAAGGAAGGTGTAGCCTATTTACCCTGGCCGTGTCATGTTTGTAGAGTACTCTGTCTCACCCAGGCTGTTGGTATTGTCAGGCCATCCGAGTGCTGGGGGCAGGGACTGGATGGCGCACTTGCAACTCACGCTGCCTAAAGCTGCATAGGGATGGCAGTGAGTGGAGCCCACATGCTAGCCATTCAGGGCTCTCCAAGGATTCAATGCTGGGCTTGGGAAACTAGAGCAGCCAGCCTTTGTCAGCAGACCTCCAGGGACTGTGGGCAGGAGATAGATAGGCATTCAGCGCTACCTACTTTTATGAGCTTTCCACCTTATCTTATGCTGCTGCCAGAGTGGCAGTCTTGTAAGCCCCAGACTTTCCCCTGGATGGTTTTACCATTTTGTAACTCAGGGTAGTTTACTCTCCCCTGGCAGACTATAAGTCTCCAGCATGCTCCCCCAGAGAGAACCTCTTCCAGTACTCCAGGGGCATCATTCTCAGGGAGATTCTGAGTTTTAAGGGAGAGGAATGCTTTTTTTCTTTCTTTTTATTTTATTGATACATTTAGTTATACAGTGATAACATTCATCATAGAGTATTTGTACTTGTATGTGATATATCTTGCTGTTTTTTCCTTCATGCTCCTCCTCTTCCTTCAATCCCTCTTCCCCTCTTTATTTACAAAAGTTTCCAAGTTTTCTATTTGCGAGGGGAATGCTTTCTAAGAAGTATTAAAGCTAGGCAGTAGAATGTTTATATTTTGAAAAACTCTCCTCTAGAAATGGGTACAATCTCCTCTGCAGTAGGTTAGACAAGGTGTACCTTTTTTTTTTTTTTTTTAGCAAAACTGGGGATTGAGCTGAGGCCCTTGCGCTTGCCAGGGAAGCATTTATTGCACTGAGCCATCTCCCCAGCCCCAAGGTATATCCTTTGAATGGCTACTTTTTTCTTTTTCTTTTTCTTCTCAGTGTTGGGATTAAACCCAGGGGCTCACACATATTAGACAAGCACTCTACCACTATTGTTTGGACTCTTTAAGTTGTTTTTTGAATCAGGGTCTTGCTAAATTGCCCAGGTTGGCTGCAAACTTGCAATCCTCCAGCCTCAGCTTCCCAATAGCTGGATATGGCGATTAAACGTCATTGTTAGCTTGATTGGTTTGGGAGCTGCCTGGGAGATTAGTGAAACATACTTCTGGGTGTTTCTAGGTGAGTCATGGAGGTGGTGTGACCTTGAGTACACTACATTGTCCCTGGCCCCTTCTTCTCTGGTACTTTTTTTTTTTTTTTTAACTGGGGATTGAACTCAGGCCCTTGAGCTTGCCAGGCAAGCGCTTATTACTGAGCCATCTCCCAGCCCCATTCTCTGGTACTTCTGCTGTCCTGTTTCTTAGTCACCATGAACTGAGCCTCTTTGCTCCACCGTGGCCCCTCTGCCATGATGTTTCTGTCTTAGAGGCAGAAACGTGGACTGAATCTCCTGAAACCATGAGCTTAATTAAACGTTTCCTCCCGTAGGACAGGGAAAGCTGTCATGCACAGGGTTTGAGGCATGTGCCAGCACAGCCAGCTGAATGGTTACTCTTTTCTAAAGAAAAATAACAGGATATTTGACTATCTTTTTATTTTATGGAAACATTTCAAAACAAAATAATAGAATAAGAACAGTTAATACATTGCATATTGTTATCTTCAAAGTAGTTACTCAGGGTTAAGATACGGAGGCATAAAAGTTCTCCAAGTTGGAGCCCAGTGGTGGGCTGAGCAGAACAGATCCTCAGGTCAGGAGTGTCATCAGAGCTTCTCCCACCAGCACCTGCACAGCCTCCCACTCATCAGCCTTTGGAGGAGCTGCTGGACACTCCTCAGGACAGACAGTGCTTCCCATTCCCACTGCAGGACAGTATGGTCCCAAGCCCATGCCCACCTGCTGGACAAGGACATTTTTCATGATGGTGCAGGCTTCCCAGGGTCCCATCTACAAAGGAATCTGCAAGTACTTCTGTCAGTCCCAGGACTACAGCTTCATCACCCCAGTGGACAGTGGCTCCAACATCTTCCTGCACATCTCTGATATGGGAGGGAAGTACGTCCCAGTGGAAGGCAACAGGGTCACCTATCAGATGTGTTCCATCTCACCCAAAAGCGAGAAGCTGCAGGATATAGAAGTTATCGTAACTCACCTGGCACCAGGCACCAAGTACCACACATGAGACCTGGTCTGGGCATATTGTCAGCTCCTATGAGGCCTGGCAATTCTCCTCCTAGGCTTGTGGTAGACTTGGAGGAGGAGGCGGGGCCACAATGAAAATGACCTTGCCCTGCACAAGATGGGGCTTCAAGGGTAGGACATAGTACCCTTTCAAGTATTCCCTGGAAGAAAGCGACCTGAGGGCAGGCATGGTGTGTTCTCAGCCACCAGCACGGTCTCTACCATCATCTCAACAAGCTCTTGCCATCTGAAAAGCATTAAACTCATTTAAGGGAGAAAAAAATTCTCCAAAAGGTATTAGCACAAACCTTCCTTTTCTTTTTTAATTTTTATGTATGTGGTATAGGGTCTTACTATGCAAGGTTTTTTGTTTTTGTTTTTGTTTTTTTTTGATGGTACCAGGGATCAAACTCAGGACCTTGTGCTTGCCAGGCAAGCACCTATTCCACTAAGCCATCTCCCCAGCCCTTTACTATGTAGGTCCAACTCACCACTGAGCTATCTCCCCAGTCTAAACCTTTTTCAATGAAGATAAGTTTGTAGTATAACTAGTTTGTGTGTGTGTGTGTGTGTGTGTGTGTGTGTGTGTGT